ACCACGTCGGCGGCCTCTCGGACCGTCCTGGGGGGCACTTTGGCCATCTTGGAGCCGTGATGGGCCGTCTTGAGGCCCTCTTAGGGGCCTCCGGGGACGTGTTTGGTAGATCTTGGGGGCCTCTTGGGCCGTTCTGGGCGCCCCAGGGTCTGAAAGAGCGAGAGTGCGACAATGCTTCGAATAGGACGAATATGTCAAGGCGTTGCTTGTGGAGGCTCTCTCGGGGGTGCTCTTGGAGCCTGTCTTAGGCGTCATGGGGCTTCTTGGCCCGTCTGAAGGCCATCTTGGGCTGTCCTACGGCGCTCTTGGGCCGTCTTCGGGATCCTTTGGCCGTCTCCGATCCCTCTTCGGCTACCCGGGGCCGCACTTGGACCGTCTGGAGCCCTCCTCGGGCCCGTCTTGGGCTCCTTTTTCATGCAGATCCACATGGGGGTGGCGTCGACTGGGGGGGGGAATTGAGCGCGCCCGGGGACATCGCGAAAAGGTTTCTTGAGAGAGCAGCGGCCCCTCGAAAATTTCCGGTGTAGTGGCGCTTCTGATGGTAAACTGTAGTGAGAGGAATTGAAATGATTTGAAAGGAATTGAAAGAAATTTGAATATCGTATCGTGTGGGCGACCCAAATTTAAGAAGTTGAGACAAAGAGGCTCGTCTGGCGAGAAACTCTAAGACACATTGAGACAAAGAAAGTCGTCTGGTTCAGAACAATCGAGACCGCTACTGTTGTGCAGCCGCGTACGTTTGGTTGTGTTTTGAACGCGTTCTGTTGCGTTTTGAGCGCCCCTTGGCTCACTCAGCGGCGGTTTGATCGCGCCCCCGTCTCCGCCACTCCCGTGTGGATTCAAAGGACATTTTGCGGTCCCCGATCCCTCTTCGGCTGCCTGGTGATCTATTGGACCGTCCTGGGGACCTCTTGGGATCCGTCTTCTTGAGCTCCTTTGGCCGTCTCCGATCCCTCTTCGGCTGCCTGGGGCCTCTCTTGGACCGTCCCCTCTTGGAGCCCTCTTGCGCCGTCTTGGGGCATCCTGCTGGGCAGATGTTCCTCCTCATTGGGCCCCAAGCCCCTCTCGCACACGCGGGCTCCTGCATTACAAAGGAAATGAAAAGAGCGAACCCAGATACATACTGGGCAAGAAACTGGTCCCGTTGTCTGAAGAAACTGATGCCGGGGGACGGGGCTGCAGAGGAAACGTGACGGTGGGTAAACGCGAACGGGGGGCATCTGGCGGCCGGGAGATGCTGTCCCGCCGAATCGCAGTGGGCCCAGCATAGTCTTAACGACATCGGGCTCTAACTTCGCCTCCAACAACTCGTCGAGCAGCGCCACAGCCCGCTGCCACTGCTCGCTCTTTTCGCACGCGCTGATCCCAGCGTTGTAGCTGACTAAGGCTGACCCGCGGCCTTCTGGCCGCGGAATCTGCCCGCCATGGCGTGGACGTGGAACTGGAGCGTCTCCGGGGCCTCGCAGGTGAGGAGAGGTTGGAGGGAACGGCGTGGATGGAGGAGGTGACCGCTGGAGGGGGAGGTGGGCGAGGGACGCAGGCAAGCAGGCCTGAAGGCAGGAACGCGGTGGTAGAGGCGGTGTCAGTGGAAGCACACCCATGTAGGCATGACATGGTGTGGACAGAAGCTGCTTCTCACGCCGTACTGTGTTCAACATAGCTTTTACGGGGAGGGTAGCCGTGATAACTGTATCTGATTTTCGCCGGGGCTGAATGCTAACTTTATCTGATAGTGTGGTGACAATGGGGCCGGTGGGCGCGGCCTAGAAGGCCCGCGAGAGGGCGGCGAGACGGCGCAGAAGGTCTCCAGGACGGGCAAGAGGCTTCCCAGACGGCCCGAGAGGGCCCCACGAACTCACCAAGAAGGGCCCCATTGCGAGGACACGAATCGACCTTTCAAGCGCACCGCCCCAAGACGTCCACGAACGGCACAGAGATGGCTCCCAGAGGGTCCAAGAAGACCCCAAGACGACGCTGGAAGTTCGACCCCAAGAGAGAAGGATCCAAGGCCTCTTGAGGGCCGTTTAGGGGCCTCTTTTCGTCCTCCTGAGGGTCTTTCGAGGCCCTCTTGGGCAGTCTTCAATGCCTCTTGGGCTGTCTTGGGGCGATGTGGGGCCGTCTCGGGCGCCTCTCGGACCATCTTGGGGCCGTCTTGGAGCCATCTTGGGCTGATCTTAGGCGCTCGTAGGGGCTGTCTTGGGTGTTTCTGGGCCGTCTCGGGCGCAGTCCCGGGGCCGCCTCAGGCCGTTTTGGGGTCCTCCTGGGGGCGTCTGGGAGCGTCTTGGGGCGATCTGGGGCCTGTACAGCCGTCTTGGAGACTGTGCAGATGGAAAGGCCTGGAGACGGGGCGGTGGGGGCCTGTACAGCCGTCTTGGAGACGGGGCGGGGCGCCTCTGGAGCCGTCCCGGGGCCTCGTGGGGCCGTTTGGCGGCCCTCCTGGGGGCCTCTGAGCGTGTCTTGAGGCGAGCTAGGGGGCCTGTATAGCCGTCTTGGACGCTGCGAGGACGAAAAAACAAGATATAGTGAAAATGCACGTTTCCCGTAGGGAATGGGACGATTTTGGCCTCTTGGGGCTCTCCTGGAGGCCCTCCTGGGCCATCTTGGGAGCCTCCTGGCCCGCCTTGGGGGCCTCTGGGACTGTCTTGGGGCTCCCAGGGGTGCTCTGAGACCGTCTTGGCACCCTCTGGAACCTCTCGGAGCCGTCCCGTGAGACATTATTGGCTGCTCTTGGGGCTGTCTTGGGTGCGTCTCGGGCCGTCTCGGGCGCCTCTGGAGTCGTCCCGGGGCCGTGTGGGGCCGTTTGAGGGCGCTCCTATGGACGCGTCTTGGGGCGAGCTGTGGGGCCTGTATAGCCGCCTTGGCCGCTGCGAGGAAAAATCCGCCGGCCCCTTTGTGGGGCCACCAGGCTGCAGGGCGAAGGTTCGCAGTTTCCTGTGCCAGTTGCAGCTTCCAGTTTCCACTGTTACAATTATGCTTATTGCTGCTTACTGTTCCTTGTTGATGGACCGCGCGAGGGGGTGGAAACCCAAACGGGCAGGTTTAGCACGCCCTGAACGTGTGCTCTGAATTGCTGGGGTGGCACCCCTCACGCAGATCGGCGGGGTCAGGGTCCAAAACACACATGAGATTTGCCACATTTCTATAATTCGGTGGCACCCCTCACGCAGATCAGCGGGGTCAGGGTCCGAAAACACAAGGGATTTGCCGCAGTTCTGAAATTCGCTGGCACCCCTCACGCAGATCGGCGGGGTCAGGGTGTAAAAACACATGGGATTTGCCACAGTTCTAAAATTCGCTGGCACCCCTCGCGCAGATCGGCGGGGTCAGGGTGCAAAAACACTTGGGATTTGCTACAGCTCTGAAATTCGCTGGCACCCCTCACGCAGATCAGCGGGGTCAGGGTCCGAAAACACAAGGGATTTGCTACAGTTCTGAAATTCGGCGTCACCCCTCACGCAGATCGGCGGGGTCAGGGTCCGAAAACACAAGGGATTTGCCACATTTCTGACATTCGGTGGCGCCCCTCACGCGGATCGACAGGGTCAGGGTCCCAAAACGCGGGGGATTTGCCATATTTCTGAAATGCGGCGGCACCCCTCACGCAGATCCGTAGGATCGGGGTCGAAAAACACAAGGGATTTGCTACACTTCTGAAATTCGGTGGCCCCCCCCACGCAGATCCGTAGGGTCAGGGTCCAAAAACAAACAGGTCCCGACACTGCTTCACGGCGGCGCCCAGACCTCATGATTTAGCGTTTGCATCTCCCATTATCCGAGACAGGGGGCCGGCGGCATGGGGCGAAGCCCGTACGGATAAAATGAAATGCAAACTACGTTTCCCGTGGGGAATGGTTGGCATCTTGGGGCTCCTGGGCCATCTTGGGAGCTTCCTGGCCTGCCTTGGAGGCCTCTGAGGCTGTCCTGAGGCTCGCTTGGGTTCCTCTTGGGCCGACCTGGCGCTCTCGTAAGTGTCCCTGAGCCGTCTTGGGGCCGTCTTGGGGCATCTTGGGACCCCCCCGGAGCCGTCTCGGAGCGTCCTGGGGGCTCTCAGGGCGACCCAGAGAGCCCGGAGGGCCGCTCGGAACAGAGGACCTTCTCGCACGCGCGAGTCCCTGCATTGCAGAGAGACTGGTGCGAACCCGTGGATAAAATCCACGGTGTGCTGAACCTGGGGCTCGCACACCGTGGGCGAACAGCTCATCGAAGTTGAACAGCTCGGGCGTCCCTGGGGCAGTGTTGGGACCGTCTTGGGGCCGTCGTGCCAGAGGGCACGAAGAGGGCCCCGAAAGGGCCCCAAGAGAGCTCCAGGAGGAAGCCAGGACGCCGCCGGGCGCGGGCCCACCATTCTGCCACGAGAGGTCTTCCTGTGGCAGAATGCGCCTGGCACTGTCAGGTCTTGGAGGGGCCCGAAGGCCCCAAGAAGACCGCAAGAGGGCCCCGGGGGGCCCCAAGAGGGCCACAGACCGCATGTACTTGATATGCTGATTGGGCTTGCGAGAGGGGCACCCAAGTACATGCGCTTGAGGCCCCTCGGGAGCGCTCCCACCCTGTCCTGAGGCCCCCTCTTGGGGCCGCCATGGACGCCTGAGGAGCCGTCCTGGCGCAGTCTTGAGCCGTCTTGGGGCCCTCCTGGCAGCCTCCTGAGACGTCTTGGGACGATCTTGAGGGCCTGTTTGGCCGTCTTGGACGCTTCGACCACGAAAAGCACGTGAACTCCTGAAGTGAACGTTTCCCCTGAGATTGGGACGATTTGTCCTTGTTCGGGCTCTCCTGGGGCTCTCTCTGGAGCCCACTTGGAGCATTTTGGTGGCCTCTTTGGGGCCGTCGGGCGGCTGTCTGGGGCGTCTTCGAGCGCTCGGGGCCCGTCTGGGAGGCCCTCTTGGACGGTCTTCGGCCGTCGTCGGGCTCGGAGCGCCTGCCCGCGGTGGGCCGAGCCGGGCCGAGCAGGGCCGATGCCACTGGGCTCTCTTTCCGCACGCGCTGATTCCGGTGCTGTAGTCTAGATAACGTCGGGATCCAACTGCGCTTCCCGCATCACGGTCAGCAGCGCAAGCGCCGGCTGCCACTGCCCGCCCTTCTCGCACGCGCTGATCCCAGCATTGTAGCTGATGACGTTGGGTTCCAGCTTCGCCTCCCACACCTCGCCCAGCAGTGCCAGCGCCCGCTGCCACTGCTCGCCCTTCTCGCACGCGCTGATCCCAGCGCTGTAGCTGACTAGTGTGAACCCGTGGATTAAATCCACGGCGTGCTGAGCCTGGGACTCGCAAAAAAACATTGTGAAAGATGCTGGTGTTGTATTGACGTTGTCTTGGACATCCTATGAAGCCTCTGGGGGCCTCTCGTGACGTCTAATTGGTCTTCTGGGGGGGGGTCCTGGAGCTTGCGGAGCTGTCCCGAGGTCTCGTGGGGCCTCCGGGCTTAGGGCCCTCCTGGGCGATCCTGGCTTTTGGGTCGCGCCGGCCCGAAGGCCTCGCACGCACTGGCAGAGTAGAGGCAGAGATGTTCTTCTCCAGCAGCATACCCGCAACCTCGCCGAGCAGCGACAATGCGTGCTGCCACTGCCGCCCCTTTCCGCACGCGATGACGGCGAAAGTGTAGACGACGGTGTTGCTTCGCACGCGTGATCGCTGTGCCTCTCGGAGCAGCCTCAGAGCTGCACCCCATTGCTTCGAGTCCCCGCAGGTGCTGATGGCAGACGTGAGGGACCCAAAGCTGCGAGGCGCATGGCCCGAGCAGAACATGCTAAGGGCACCCTCACGCAATCGCTGTCTACCCAGACCCCCGAAATCGCAGCTATCACGATGTGGGGCCCTGAAACTCTCGACCCCGTCCCCATGCCCTCGCGGGTTATGTATTTCAGTTGCGCCGGGGTCAAAAGAGGTTGCCCGCCTGCTGGTGTCGAGGAAGACGCGCCATCGTGTTTTTGGCTTCGCGGCCCCGGGAGCCCAAGGAGCACAGTCTGGAGGCACCGCACAAGGCTCCCAGACAAAGGGCCCACGCATCGGATGCAGCCGTCCTCCTAGACCTGTCAGACCTCCCGCAACACCGCGCATCCGTAACGCGGGCTGCGCTACGACTACAACGACTGGTCCCCATCCACATCCCTCTCCTTCCAATTCCTCCATATCCACTCTCTCCCTCCCCATCTTCTTTTCCCTCGGTTTCCGCTCCCTTCTCCTTTCTCCCTCTCCCCTCTGCTCCTCTTCCGCACCATCCTTCCTTCACCACTCTCGTCTCCTCCGTTTCCTCCCCCTCCTTCCACGATCTTCCACGTGTCAAGCCATTTTCACTTGGGCAGGACGACCCTTGCGGCCAGCAAGTTTCTGAGGAATGGCACAAGCCATTGGCTTTGCTGACGTTCGCCTTCGGCCATGGAAAACGCGTCAAGGCGGCGGTGGTGGTCATGATGAATGCCGTGCCATCGTGTCACACCAGTCACGCCAATGCAAACCAGGTTTCGCAATACTGACCGCTGGGCGCGCTCCAAACAATCATGCCGCTGCAAGCAAGGTTCACCACTTCGGTCAAGGAACAACAACTATGTACACTTTTTGCGTCGGCGGCTGGGCAGAGGGCGACTGCTCCGGCGGGCAGGCAACACGGGACATGCTGCATGCAAGGTAAACCCGCGATGCACGAAGGAGGAGGAAGAACCCCGGCGCGACAGGGGGAGAGGAAGCCGGGCCCACTCAGGCGAGTCGCCGGCTGCGGCGGGGGAAGGGCCGATTCTGCACAAGCCCACACACACCGATTTTGCACAAGCCCATCCTGAGCCCAGAATCGGTGCATGCGCCTTCGTGGCTTCACCAGGCAGGCATGGACCCAAGAAACGAATGGCCAGGATCGGCTCGTGTGAATTGTTATCCTCGCCCGACTCCGGGTATGCAAACATTGCGGCTGCGTGAACTGGTGCTCCTGAACGGTCAGGACTGCTCGACGGCGGCTCCCCCATGCCCCCCGCCGACACCAACCCCGTCGGGGCCCGGCTCGCGCTATCGTTTTTTTGCTCGGCGGTCGCGAACAAGGCCACCTTGGCAGGAGGAGGGGGAGGACGAGAAGGAGAAGGAGGAGGAGGAGGAGGAGGAGAAGGAGGGAGGAGAGAGGATTGTCTTAACATCCAACTCCGCTGGCAACACGTTTGGGGCAACCAGGAGAAACCTGTGGGGATGGCTGACACCGAACGGACAACACCCAACTCAGGCCAAAACTCGGACGACAACCCCAAGCGAACGTGGGCAGCTTGCACGAGCGGCCTGGCGTCCTCCTCCTCATCACGCAGACTGCCTCTGACAACTTGCAAAGTCACGCTCTCGTTTCCCCCCTCCTCCTCCTCATTGTGAATGGAAGGGGGCGCGCCAAAACCTTCAACTCGCGAGCAGCTTCTATCGAAACCCCATCGAACCCCGTGTTTCCCTTGAAGAACTATGTGCTTCCACCTCTGGGCATTGCCGCGGGTCGGGCGTCCGCACGGCTGGCCCAAACGGGCCGGATGTTCCAGGGTGAATGCTGCTATGCAGCCTACACGGATGGACAGTGCGCGAACCACCTGAGCAGTCGATTGAATTCAACCTGTCCCCTGGAGCTGACTCCTTCTAAAGAAGCAGGCACTTCCACTGCGCATCCTTGAGCGGGGGGGCGTCGGGCAGCAACCGCGCTTGAAATTTGCCTGAGACTTGATGCGGAGACAGGTCGAGCAGCGCCAGTTGGCCTTGTTCCAAAGCCACGCGCGCTGCCATGGCCCACTCTCCCGAATTGGCCCTGGGGCAGCCCCTGGACCGACTAGGTCGAACCCCGAGAGAGGTCCAGGAACGGCCACGGGGGAGGGCTCGCGCAGCAAGCCTGCGCGCAGCTTTGGATGCCTCGCCCTGCCGGGATGCAATGCGAAATTCGGCCTCCGCGACGGCAGCGCGGGCTTGGAGACATAGCCGAGTTGCAGCATTTACGGCGTCACCCCCTACCGTTTCCCATCGCTGCTGACATGTCAGCCACGGGTCATCTGGACCAGTTCCTTTACATGACTCAGCGAGCGAAGATGCGATCGCTCAGACAAGCAGGCGCTGAACTGGAAACGACATTAGTGAAGGGGAACTGGGACACACAAATAAATACACACAGATCAAAATATCTCCCATATTTTCCCATATGTTCTGGGTTTTTGCCTTCCCCCTCACTTCACATATTTTCCCATATTTTCTGGGAATCGCAGATTAATTGTGTCTGTGTGTTTTTTTTCCCTCCTGAATTAGAACAATCAGAAAAACCACGGGTCGGCACCGCGGCGCCCCAGGCCGCCATGGCCAACGCCCCGGACTCACCAGCCTGAGGAGTTCGAGGCGCAGGGCCCCAAACAGGGCCTCGGGCCGAAACCTGCGCCTGAGCATATGGATTTGAAGTTGCACGCCCCTCACGGCGCACGACTGAGCTCACGAAGTGCACGCCTGGAGCACGAGCCGCCCACGAATGCGTCGCCTTGGACCTGGCCAGCAGGAAGTCCTGGATGACCTGCCCCACGGAGAGCGACCCCCCCCAGAATTGCGGGGGCGCGGGGCGACGTCTCCAGAACGGGCGAGAAGTGCCTTAGTGAACAAGGCGGCGTCCCTAACCTCATTTCTGTCGGCATTAGAGACGGCGTGGATGATCTCGACTCTCGCGTCATCCGATCGGATCTCCGAAACAGCGGTGCACCCCCGGACACGACGCCAAACGCCATCAAAGCAGAAGCGGCAGAGATCGCAGCGCGGCTGCGATCCTTGAACCACAGGGCCCCGCACTTGAGGGGCGCGACACAGCCTTTCTCGCAGCGCGTGCACTCGGGGAAACGAATCAGAGACGATGCGACATCGTAGCAGGCGCGCCCAGGGAAATTCAAGTTCCCGGCCGCAGCTGACAAGGCAAGGGGAGACAGCGGCGAGGTGTATTTCTGCCTGGAAGACGCCAGCGACAATCGCGCTGCTGGACATGCAAAACCGACACCGAGCCACGAAAGCCTCAACGCAGACAGGGGCCCCGCGACATCTCACCAGGAACGCGAATCCCTCGCAAGGCGAGCAGCAGATCCCCAAGTGTCCCTCAACGCGTTGAAAAATGAATGATTGCCTGGCGATCTCACCTGTGCTGCGAGGACCCACGTCGAGCATCTGACAGCAGGTGAGACGGCGCTGAACCAGGCAGGACGGGTCGGACTCCGAGATGACAGCGGAAGTGAGCGAGCGAGCGCTAGCACTGGGGCGGAGAACAGGGCCTGCGCTGCGACGTACGCCTGCCAACTCATGATCAGAAACACAATGAACTTCAGCTCCGCGGAACAGGCCAGCACGACGGCCGCTTCGGTGCGCCTCCTCGAGGCCACGTTACATATCCTGAGACGCTTGGCTCTCTGACGGGGAACCTGCTTCCGCCTTTGGAATGCCTTCCCGTCACCTCGGCGACGACGGCAGGTCCTCGCCGCGCCCCCGACCCCCAAGCTGCGGGCGGACACCTCGGGCCGCGCGCCACCGAGGCCGCGCAGCGCAGCGAAGATCCCCTCGCCCACCTGGGCCCGATGGAAAGCGTATCCTGCGCGCAAATGCCCCCAATGTCTTCCGCCGGGACCAACGCGAGAGCGGCGGGGCGCTCGATCATGTCCCGCTAAATTTGGGGGAGCCGGTAGATGAAGGTCCGCTGTCATCTATGCAAATGTCGAAAAATGCGGGAACGTGGAACACATCTGTGCCGGGGCGATGCAAACTCGAAAATGCGACGCGGCCATCGAAGACCCAAGAATAACCCCAACCATCGCAGGGAGAAAAAACCATGGACTATATGTCAAGTATGCCCCATCACCACGCATTCAAAGACGCTGCAGACCTCCAATTTCCGCCAGGAGATCTGGGCAGGATAACCAATGGCATCACGCCTGTGATCGAGCTCTTCCAAAGACATCTTCGCGTAAAACTTTTGAATGTCCCGCGCGACCTCGCGGGCGACGGCGCCGCGATGGCCCCCGGCGCTAGGGGGGCGCGGTCGCCCCCGAACGGCGTCTTCACAGCGAACGGCCTCAAGCCAAATGACATACGCCGCTTCGGCAAATGGGTCCGCTGCTATAAAGAGAGAGAGAGAGAGAGAGAGAGAGAGAGAGAGAGAGAACAAAAAAAAAAAAAAGGAAAAGCAAAAAAAACAAAGAAAAGAGATAGAAGAAAGAGAAAGAGAAAAGAAAGAGAAAGAGAGAAGAGATAGAAAAGAGGAGAGAGAGAGGGGGAGCAGAGAGGAGTGAGAGGAGGAGAGAGAGAGAGAGAGAGAGAAAGAAGAAAAAAAAAAAAAAAAAGAGAGAGAGAGAGAGAGAGAGAGAGAGAGAGCGAGAGAAAGAGAGAAAGAGAGAGAGAGAGAGAAAGAAAGAGAAAAGATAAAGGGAGAGAGAGAGAGAGAGAGAGAGAGAAAAAGAAATAAAGAAAAAAACAAATCCTGGCGAAGGACCCAACCAGATGCAGTTGCGAGTACCGCAATTGTGAATATCTTCTTCGACGGCGCTCCCTATGGGGCCACGAACCGTATGAGGGGTGTGCCGAAATCTGTGCGGTGGGCGCATGGGAGCGCAGCCACTGGGGCCTT